TTTCACTTTTGGTTGAACGTCCCTCTTGTCACTCAAACTACTTCTCGTGTTGCTTCTCTTCTGCACTTTTCCATTTCTCAATAAGACTTCGCTAGTTTTTGTTGCGAAGGCGCTCGAACAGGGTAATTTTATCCCTAGAAACTGCTATGTGCCTTCTAGCCACACAAGGATATAGATCTATCTACGCTATTAGAATATGGATGAACTTCTCATATTCATTTTACTTCTCATTTGTTTTTTACTTCATTACAGTTGTACATTCGCTAACAAGGATAAACCTAAGGGATTCTACAGGCTATCATGTTATCTTTCGCCTTTTACTGATTCATCCATCTTCATATATTCCGTACATTTATTTATTTATTTATTTATTTATTTATTTATTTATTTATTGAATCTAGTGATTCATAAAGTCATTCGCTCATTCATTCATTCAATTGTTCATTCGTTCATTCATTCTTTCTTTCTTTTTTCCCTTTTCCTTTCTTCCTTTCATCCAGTCGTTCACTAATTCGTGCATTTCATCCATCTATTCATTCACTCATTTATTCATTCATTCTCATTCATTCATTCATCCATTCTATTTAAAATCAATTTATTGATTTTCTATATTTTTGTTGGTTGATTACCAGCATTTGCAGCATGCGTTTGATAGCAAATGATCAAAAATATCTTTTAACTACTTTTTGATCACGGCTTTCGCATTTTATAATTTAATATATGTAGCTTAAAATATTTTCTATGGTTGACAATTTTTATCGACCATCAGATTCCCTTAAAAAACTACCTACCGCTTCTGATGGCATCATTTCCAATTTAGGTCTTTCATTCTTTCTTAAAAGAGAAATGATCGCTAAAAATATCTGCTTTGCCGTACGCGGACCTTATATTGCCGAAGCCCCAATTATCACATTACACAAAATACAGCATAAAAAAGCTTACATCAGTCATTCAGGACCTCTAGACACCAAAATAAGCATATGTATCATAGCTTTTTTATTTTTTATTTTTCCATTTTTCGTCAAAATTCTCGCCATTGTAGTTCTACCCGTGCTGCATGCATATGCGCCAAATACAATTTTCCATTGACGCAAACTTTAAGCAAGAACTATTGGTTTATCCTAAACAACATTATTCCCTTCATACAATGCGACATCACCTTCAATATGAATCAAGTACAATAATCTTTCCCATACACATTCATCGTAAATGCGTTTACTCAAGTTTTTTTGGATGACATTTGACGAACTGAAAAAGTTGCGAACTTTCTCCCGTTTCTTTCCTTTCTACGTAATCTCACATTTTTATGTTTTAACATTATTCTGTGTTCACCTAGCTTTTCTATAATGTGGGGAAAAACATCTTGCCAATGTACATTTATAGCATAGAAGTTTCGAAAGTTCTAGCGTTGAATTTGAGTATGGTACGCTTAAGTATCAAGGCTCAATGTGTGCAGTTGCACTATCATTGCTCGTGTAGGACAAAGAGTATGATTTTGAAACTTTGAATATACCGTGATTCTTGATAAACTACATATTGGTTGAACACATAACAAAATTTGCATTTTGCTAGAAAAATCTAAAAGAAGTGAATTTTGATACATAAATGTTGGAATCTACGAACTTCCAAAATGAAGCAATCAAGTGAAAATCAGAGCTGGCACGAGATGAGATACTAAACCTTTGGAATGGATTTATTTTACGAGTTACGGGCTCTTTATGACCCCATCGATGAAGCAAAAAAGATTAACGACACCCGTTTATCTTGTAATTGGTAGAATTTGCATCATATGATCTTTTCTCTATTTTCTTTGCAGTAGAAATTTACGAATGAGAGCAAGAACAATCGTAGAATTAACAGGATTTATGTGGCCGCCGAGGCCGAGATATAGCTGATTACATGGAAAAAATCAATAAGAAACCTTTCCTGTACATGATTTCTAAATTACAAGTGCATGTTTTTCTTGCTCCAGTCATTGCTAGGAAATAGAAAAATGTTAGAAAGGCCCACAAGTTTTTTAGAGGCTCAAATCTGCAAAACTTGTCAGGCAATGAAAACCTACGGACGATTCATTTTTGTAAAATTTGTAAAAAAAAAATTTTGGAGCATTTGCAGATATAAACAATTATTTGTTTTTTACAACCGATGATTGATCTTCGAAAACTCACCCTCCTCCCCTCGCTCCTCCCTACTAGTGTGCTTGCTGATATGTGTGTGTACCAACGAGTCACTTGTAACCACCTAACATGTGAGTCTGCACACTATGTGCGGCAAATGACGACGGCCTCACCAGTAACCCTTCAACAAAATGTTTTCCAGCGTAAATAACTGTAGAAAAGTGTACTACTAACTGATACATATTTAGTCAAACAAAAAGAGAGAAGGAAACAAGGGAAATCACTGAAGATGAGTAGATTCTCAATTGTCGTCAAATAGCGCGCATGGTGTGCAGTACACATATTAAGTCACGAATGTCTCCGACGATATATGTAAAATTAGAACAAAAATCATCTAGTTTTTTTTTGAAAACGAATTCCGCATGAGTTTATCGCAGCCAAGCCTTCGTCAGAATTGCCTCTGCAAAATTTTATGGATGGCTGCAGGTGATGTATGCTAACGTTTACGACGAAGACCTACCATCATCGGACGAGTTTTCACATAAATCGTTAATCTTATAAATCACTCTGAAAAATGACTTTAGGCTTAGCCTTGATTGCAAGTGCATTCTACATCAAAAAAAATTTCCCGACTTTTTGATATTTTTAATAAGTAAAATCTCTCAAACCTCCCGACATGCTCTTTGTTCGAAGCTTTTTCACTAGATTTGTTGCACCCTTCGTCAAAATTTTCCAGTGTTCGTTTCTAGTACTTTTTGAAGGAAGAAAAAAGGATGATAAAAAAAAATTTTACGCACGTTCACAGCTGTTGAACGAACTCGAACAAAAATGTCATTCAAAAAATTCCAACAGATTTTTCTTACATTCAATGTCTCCACAATCTCTATCGAGTTCTCAAAATCCTCAACTCCTTGAATTGCACAAAACTTTAGAATTGTGCTTTAAAACTTGCAAAAATAATGTTTTGGTTGACACAGCTGCAGGATTGGCAGTGTCAGGACGATCAGCCAATGGCACCTTGGATGGGCGGAGACATTACGCCAACGAACCAATCGCAGCCAGAATCAGCCAATCAGAAATGCCGCTTAGTTCTACTTTAGTTAAGGTCCTCTTTCTATTTCACGTTATCGGAACAAAAATATGAATATTATTTATCATATCTAGATGAATGTTTCGAAGGGACGGAACTATCTCAACAGCCACGAAAAAAACTAAGGCTTTATGAATTTTTTTTGAATAGAAGAAATTTTTCTCTTAGTCATTTTTAGTATTTTTTTTAGTCAGTCATTTTTCTCTCTTAACAAAGTAGTTTGCGCAACATATTCTGCAACCTCCTAGAAATAAAAGATAAACAACTCAGCAAAAGCATCATTTTCATGTAGCCTTATTCACCTCTGAAACTCGTCTCATGCAAATCATCTCTTTGACACATAAGTAGAAAATATTTATTCAAGCGCTACTTTTTCCTTAAACAGCATAAAAGCTTGAATCTACTCATGCCTAAACAAAGTCACTGAACCGTACTAGTCGCTGTTGCGCAACAAATGACGTCATTTCTGATAACGACTTTTATAGCTACGTATAATCAAACACGAATGCGAAATCAAATTAGAAATCTCAAATCAGCTAAATTTCTTGGCAAGCTTATAATAACGGCATGATTTGTTAACCGATTAGTTAATTAACTGTGAGGGCATAAAAGAAAAGAAAACCATGTGTTTTGAATAGATATACTAAACTATCCTGAAAATCGTAAATTGTAGATTATCCTAATATGACTTGTTAGTTGTCAATAAGAATTATGCAGTTTTTTTTTCTCCTCAAATATTATGAATATATTATAACGAAGTTTGTGAATTCAGCCATACTATATACCCCTTTAAACGTGTGAATATGACTATAATATCAGACTAGAGAGTTCAGACATTTCCAGCAGAAAAAGCCCTTTTGCACACTACAGTATGCTACCGTAACACCTAGTGACATGTAGAAGGCGAGGTGACTCAATTATCAAGGGGCGGCGCCTGAATAAGGAAGTGTACGCCGTAGTGTCAGCATTGCCTTTCAAAAATCAAGCTACACTAGGATAGGGATATAGTATGTCTGTGCAAAAGGGTCCGCATCCTTTTCAACATTGAGTTCTCATGCCGTACTATTGCGTTTAGAATAAATCTATCATTGTCTGGAACATTTACCACCTTGCTTTCCTTCAAGAATTATTTTGCTACATGAATGCATACGATATATGTGCAAAAATGTCCACATCTTTCTAAAGCTCAAAATTTTCAAAACTCAAATGTGACTATTGCTTCGGATAAATGCATCCTTGTTCAGATCATTCATCATCCTGCTTCCAATCGAGAATAATACTTTCATAAATAAGCATGCGTTATATATGTGCAAAATAGTCCCCATCCCTTCTTATAACAACTTTTCATAAATTTTCGCAAATGATTTGCTACATTTGAATGAGCCTATCCTCATTTCATCACGATAAGATACTGGTATAGGACAAATTACGGTACATATGTGCAAAAAGGTCCACAACCTTTCTCATGTCATCTTTATTTCTCATAGCTGATTTTTTATATTTGGATGGAACTATCCTCATTCTTACATGAATTGTCGTTTGACTTTCATAAAAACGTCTATCCGTATGTTAGCATACGGTATGTGCAAAAGGGTCCGCGATGTTCCCCATGTCATTTTTTACGAATTTCTCAACTAATTATCCACATAAGCTTATTCTTCAAGCTGTTATTCGCTTCTGGACCCTCAACCCAGTCATCTCATCTTTACGCAACCTTTCTCAGTTTTTTCCACTTCGAACTACGTATCGTCTCATGTAACATTTTAGCAAGAAGTAAATGGAAAATTTTTAGAACTCACATCCGCTTTCGATACTGAGCTGTTCGAGTTGGTGTTCAGGCAGTTGTGAACTGGCTTGACCCATGTTTGTAGAGCGATAATTGAATAAGCTGTGGTGGCTGTGGAGCAGCAGAGCGCAGAAACAATACAAAAGGGACACAACACCCGGCGAATCGACGCTCGTAAGGCGCGTTATCAGCGGTAGTGATATGCCGCGACCATGTCATCCACTTTGCGCCGAGAAAAGGGATTTCATGGAGGTAAGAGCCGATTTTGAGCAGATTTTCCCGACCACTTTGTGAAATTAATGGATTAGCAGATACAACTGAGGAGATCAGTGCTTTGCCTTAAATCACAAACTCAGAAACACACTAGTGGCGGGCCGAAGAAGTTTGTTTGCGGAGGGGGGAGGGAGAGGGGATAAAAATTATTTTCACATTTCCAAATCATTTGTGGGATGCTTTCCATTTCAGAAGCTCACAGAAAAACATTTCTTACAATGTTGATCTGAATTTTTAGAAAACTCCAAAATCATTCAAATTACTCACAAGTGAGAACATCATGTAACCTTTGATTCAACTGGTTTGGCGGCTGAAAGGCGGGGCTTTGTGATCTATTCAAGGCCGCTGTGCCCGCGACGCAATCTGCGTCTTTCCCGCGCACGTGCTCTGTGAACATTACCTAGCCTTAATTAGGTCACGAAACCCCGCCTTCCAGCCGCCAAGCCAGTTGAATCAAAGGGGTAAATAACCTCCCTCCATCCCCCCCTCAGTCCGCCATTGGTCACTGATTGAAAAGTTTCGATTAAGTCATTACCCAGGCCGCAAATCATATGATCCACTGATGGCAGGGAAGTTACACTCCAAACCTTTGCCCCTATCGTACTCAAGGACGCTGATTGGTCCGCTTGAAAAGGTTACGATAGTGGGCAAGAGCTCAAAAACAAATTTTCCAGCCGAATATGAAACATATGAGCTGCGGCTTCTGTGATCGTAATAATTGAAAATCCAAAATCAAATTCCTTATGGAAAACCCATATTCAATACTTTTTCTGGACATTCTTTCAAGAAATTGTAGAGTTCATTTTACGGCATTTCACCGCGGTTCTTACAGACCAAACTACATTACTGCTTTTTGCAACTTGCTAATTTACATTCTGCTCTAGCGCTTTCGTGCTTGCTTAGCATTCATTAGCCACAGTAAAAAGTCAACTAGAGAAAGTTTTGCTGGATTCGAAGAAAAGCAGAAGTTAGGAAGGGTCATACCGTGGTGGCTCTAATTTCAATCCCTTGTCAAAGTTAAATTTTCCTAATGCGTTAGATTCATATTCGGTTACACTTCATCTTCTTTTTCTGGTAGCTATAGCCGTAAAAGGACCAAATTCATATAAGTTTCTTTTGCACCTCTGCGGTGGCTATTCTAACTTTGCGAAGGGTGCATGTTTATATTGTGAATGTTCTGAAGCAAGCATGAGAGGCAAAGAGTACTTTTTTGTTAGATAGAGCAAAAGTATCTCTCATTGTGCCTTGATGTAACTGCTAGTAACTGGCCAAGCAAAGCTACGGTAGCGCACGGTATATGTGATCGTTGTAGTATTTTGCAGAGCTGAGAAGGGGAAAGAAAACGGTAGAATTTTCAACCAAAAAATCTGAAAATTTGCCACCAAGATTTCAAGATGTGAGCACTTGAACTCAAATTTTTTTTCCAAATTTGTAACCCTAAAACGTCCGCTTCCTTTCTTTCTAATAAAAACTTGTATATAATCAAATTGGAAACTTTGTACAATCTAAAATATTGTTGACAACATTTCAATCGCTTCACAACGGCGTTATTTAATCAGAACAAGCAGAAACCAGGAGGAATGGACATTGCCAATAGGCGCTGCCTTCGTGGACAACTGGTCCTATGTCACACGTCATTGCATGCCATCTGAGGACCAGCAGTCCGCGAAGACGGTACCCATCGGCAGTGTTCATTTCTCTGCCCCAAAAATCTGCAAAATAAAGATTTTCAATGCATATTCATTCAGGTCAACCCGCCGCGTGTTGAGAAAGACTTCTACCGTAACTATGATCCAATGGTTGGTATTGGTACCGCTGTCGCATTAATACTATTCTTCTTCACCATCACTGTCAAATCATGTGTTCGTCATCTCGTACGAAAATGGCGTATGCATCAATTTTACAAAAATACACCGTCTTGTGAAACGCAAGGAGATGATGTGCAACCGATTGTCGAAACAGCTTGAGAGTGGCAAGGTACCCCTTTTTCACATACTTGATTTTTTTGTCATATAACGTCATAGCAGCGATAATAGTTCAAGTGAGGGAGCTCCGCCCTTTGTGGCAGGCTCCGCCCACTCGACCAAGACTGCCCAAAACTACACAGGTTCTCAACATACAAATCCTTGGGAAACGGACGGAGCTTCCCACTAAGAGTTGAGATTTCGTAACGGTAGCGGGTACACAGAAAAACAGAAATCTTTCAAACATATTTACACCATTCATGATTCATTTCTCGATATTTTACAGATACACAGCTGTAAAGCATAAACTAGGTCTTTCTCTTTCTAAGAAAGCAGCACCTGGCAAATGATCAGCTATAAAATCCATACGCCTGAGCACACTCAATTAGAGGTTAAAAACCGTAACAATATGAAAATATATAAAATAAGCATTGCATTTTCTATACACCGGGTGAATCACATACATAGGTACAGGTCATATCATTGAATATGAGAACCTCTATGCATTAGAATCTATCTAGATCACAACCTAGACGAAAGCAAACCCAAAAATTTTGTCTTAAATCAAGATAGACCACTTTTTAAATGAGAATTCTGCGCTTGCGACTATCAATTCTGTACAAAAAAGGAAATGAACTACTGCATACATTCTGCGAAAGTCCACTCACGCGCAACTCTATAAGGCTTCCAAGTCTACATGCTGAATATCTGGATGTTTTCCGGTGATTTCAGTCTCGATCCGATCGATTTCATCGCCAAGACGGTCTATAATCTTTTCACCATGCTTTTCCATAAAAGTCGCCAATTCACCTTCGTCTTTGATATCTTTTACTTCCTAAAACAAATCAAAAAGTTCACTAGTTCCTATAACGTAATCCACCAAATTCACATACTTTCAGCAATGTCGACATCTGGACGTTATGGTGCAAATAGGCGCGGGTGATTGCACGACCATCAAAATCCAATTCGGCTTTGAAACGTGACTGTTCAACGCCCAAAGCAGTCGCTTTCACATCGTGTACTGATCTGAATTCTCAATACAATACGGGATCACAGTCTTTTCTGAGTAAATGAGTTAACGTATTATTTGTCGTATTTTATGTTGTCGCTAGAACACAGAGTTATTTAGCGAACAGTCATGAACGTCCAGAATCAAAATCTCTATCTTCCATTCACTTCCGCCAGAAAAATCTTAGAATTCCCATAAGTTGTTAGTAAACAATGTTTTAGTCCCTCTATATTGCGCTTACCCTACCAGTTATTCTGACGAAAATATCTCTAGTTCGGAACCGTTGTCAAGATGTTTATTCTATTTATTTTGTTTTGTAATACCCTCTGCTCGGATAGGCTACGGGTAGGAAAGATAGATTATGCATGATATATTGCAATAAATATATGCGTGATACATTGCAATAAATATGCACAACATTACTTACCGTATCACCGGATCATTGTTCAAACGACACACGATATCATCAGTAATCCGTTGTGGAAGACTCCTTCCGACAAGATGGGCGGCGTTTGTGCGGATAATGAAGGAAGCAACAGTACCTAAGTTAGCAGATACTGAGTGCATAAAAGGGAACGACAAATGCAAACTGACTAAAAAATGGTGATATAATGCCAAAGTACCTAGTAAACATCCTATAAGTATCGATCCAATTGAGTCGGGTATGGGTGAGTCAAGCAACGAGGACAATGATACAGCACATAAAGCTATTGCCACCTGAATGATGTCTTGACAGTGGTCGTATTCAACAACGAACCCAGTGGCTAGGCTTAACCCGCTAGATCGGCATTCACAAAGCTTTGAGTTCAGTAACCCGAAAGGTTAAGTCTACCCTCTGGGTTCCGGAGCACAAAAAACGCCCTCGACCGGTAATCTAAAACAAACCCAATTGGTTCGCGAACCCAGCAGGTTTGACATACGACCACATATAAATTTTCAGGTTAGTGATAAATTTAAAAAATCCTAATTCTAGAAAATACCAAAAACACAGATAATTAGCATCGCTGCAAACGAAGCTCCTACTTACTGCACTTGAATTTGGGAAGAAACCATGATCAATCACTCACTCCAGAGACAGCTGCTGTGTCTTCCAGCAAGACCACATTGAGAGATGGATCAGCTGAGGTACGAACTGAAACAGGTAGAAAATAACGAACAACACCGAATTATCATGCAAGGAGAATATGAACAAAACAGACCATAATTAATAATACTGATACCAGCTCGTTTTGATTTTGAAATCACTTCTCTATAAGCATTAAATGCCGATGTGCCTTGGAAACAAAACGACAGAAATAAAGCGTAGTAAGCCTAAAAAAGTATATTCCATTCCATACAACACTGAGCAGCCTCAGGCATACATAGTTTAGCGGTTCCAGCTCCGCTGGATGTAGTAGTCCAGAAATCCCATGATAAATGGATAGACCGCAACCAAAGGCCATTATACCGCACCCAGAGATCAGTGAAGTAACATACCGCATATTCCCTGTAATTTCACTTGAGCAATATAATGAGAAATCAACAGACCAAGTTTAAAAAAAACTGAACGCAAACTAGCTCACCATAACCGTATGGAAACTTGAGATCTGGATTTCTAGCTGAATAGCGAATACCCATCAGAAGAATCAGTTGGCTGCACGTGTCCATAGTGCTGTGGATTGCTTCGGCAAACAAGGACTTTGAACCAGTCATATATGCAGCAGCATACTACAAATTCAGAACCTGTATGACACAAAGAATAACAATGAAAACAAGGTATACCAAACCTTGCAAGCAGCATCACAGCAATTCAGCGCGAATGCGATGGCAACAACTCTATCCGCACCTTTGCTAGCAGATGTTTTTTCAACCTAGAAGAATAATCCGTCCAGTTTACCATGTCAGGCTACTCAAACGATTGATAAGAATATGGGAAAATTCCTGAGGAGAAGCTGGGCGCTCTAACATCGAGGTAATTTTTGAGTGGGCCTGCATAAACACTTGGAATGTTCACAGAGCAAAGTAATAAATTCACATTTTTTGTGAGAACTTGACATAGCGACTTGAAGATGATTCAAAGGTTCAGATCTTTGAAAACCTCTAGGGACACGCACCGACATTACCCATCTAAGAAGCTATCGGATGCGTGCCAGCCTTTGCGATAGTTGTTAACCGGTAAGCAAATCTTTGTCAATTCTCTCAGATCACCCTGGTACCTATTGATCATCCCCGGAGGGTAGAGGATTGGCGGACCAGGGGACGGGGATCAAACCTTGGCCAAACCAAGTTATAGTCGCATCATAGCATTGTGCCATTCATTCGCCAGCCTCGGATAAAGGATAGGGATTCCATAGTAACCCCCCAAAAAGATCTAACAATGCCAAATGCCTCAGGTAGGGCTAGCACATACAATGAAGAAAATTCCTCGCTATAAAGAACAAACATGGGTAGCTGCAGCGTTAAAGAGCATTGCGATTCTATATCGTAGTTTCTAATACTGTCACATAAGCAAGTGAAGCACAGATTACATGTTTCGTCTCCTCAAGAAAAAGAGAAAGTGAATACCAAAGCCAAGCACAACATTGTTTTGAAACTAGTTAACATACCCTCATTCTCATGCGCATTCGTTCAGCATCAGTCAATTCATTCGTCATAGAAATAAGAGGCCTTCGATGAGATTCCAAGGCTTCAGTGCTACCATGCACCTGAAATTTGCGAAATAATAACATAGATAAGCAAAGTTTCAGAGAGGTAGCTGGCCAAAAGATTACGCTTACCTCAAGCGCTTTGTGATACACGTCAGTCAAAGCATACAGATTGGTTGCTTCAGTTGAGATCAGGGATTTCGATTTAGTCCTCACAGGTCGTGGGTGGCTAGGTAGGTCCTTCAAATGCTCTTCCCTGGAAATGCACTATAGTTCTCACTACTAGCCACTGATAAAGACATACAAAGCTTAACAAACTACCGCAGTCCAAATTCGGCCATAGCGCGTAGCTGATCAATCTTGTCATTCTCGTAAGACCGAGTTTTTCTGGATGGTCGCGCCACCTGGAAGGGGAATTGGGTCTTTCGAGAGAAACACAGCTCGACATTCTTAATGATTTTGAATGGCACAAATGAGAACCAACAGCAATTTTGATACAAACCACGTCAGAATAAATACTGACCTTATTGTGATGTTAATGTTCTCGCTTCGACAAGTTTAAGAATCATTTCAAAAAGTCAACCACCTTCGACTACATGAAGGGCTTGTAAACAAAGTCGCAAGCAGGTGATAAGAGCTGATAAGTGCCGAAAAGTTAATTTTTGAGAAAAAAATTTGTGCACTTGTCCGTACTGAACTAGAAGATTTACAGTTTGACAGAACCTAAGCATTTATGTACCTCCAAATTTCTTAGGTTATAATCCAAGAGATGGATGAGTTTACATGTAAAGTAGATAGAAGAAACACAAATGAGGAATGCTCATACCCTGAACAATCGTTTCATCTGTACTTCCGACTTTCCATCCTTTCCACCGGCTTCATTTCTCAAATTACTTGAATGAAAAGATGAACAGGTTGCAAGAATGCGACCAAGCGAGACAGTCTGGCGTCTCCATGCTGAAAAAAAAAATACTGTTCGATAAACGTTAAAAAAACTCCAAATGGGGCTGAGAGAAAAGAGTAATCAAGTCATTACCAAGAGTTCAAACAACTATTGGATATTTGTTGAGGACAAACTACAGTTTGATAAATTTACAGATCAACATATAGATCGTAATACCCACTTGAACCGTCCTAATAAGCTAACTGTAGAGAAAAACCTATTTGGAGATTAAAGTAAAATATAAGCACATCCAGAGAATTGTCTGAATGAGCAGAAAATTTCTCAATTTGTATTCTGTGCGATAGAAATGAGATAGAAATTCTATCATTTGTCCGTTTTCCTTTCTAGATCAACCAAAAGCCAACATCAAGTAAGCAGAGTTACATAGGTAATTGAACGGTAAATGGTACTTGGACATTGTTAGAACAAAGTCCTATTAATACTCATAAAATATACTCAAGATTTGTACTTCTACAGATGGAGTCAGAGATTAGAAATCAAAATTATCAAAAAATATGGAGAATGCTTGTCATCGAAAAGTAAAAGATAAAACCTTTTTAAACAAAAAGAGAAGGTCAACTTACTGCGTCCAGCGCTATGATAGAGCAATGACGTGGGAATGTGAAAAACCAAGGACGACATGTTGACTTCGCGTTTACTGAGCTTTGCAAGCTCACATTAACGACCAGTGAGACAAAGCGATGTATGCTCGGCTTCCTTTCAAGACGGTCCAGAGAGAACGTAAATTTCTTGTCAGAAAATCCTCCCGAGGGATACCACAGCAGACTCCACGGCCTTATAGGACGCGTGGTATTGGCGCTAGAGCATGCATGTTGTACCCTGTCACGGGCGGTGCGCGCAAAACGAAGCCGAATTTGGACTGCTCAAAATCGGGGTAATTTTTGCTGGCTTAAGTTTTTGGAGCTAGAACTGGTGCAGAAAGCTGTCAAAACAAAAGAGACAAGGTTAAGCTCATTTTTTTTACTAGATTCTGATTGTTGGTTAAAAAGCGTCCCGAGAAAGATCTGCGCATATTTTTTCTTTGAAATCGCTTGTCTTAAAAGCGTTGGCGAGCCTTTAAAGGCAGTGGGTCGACAAAATCCAACAACTCGCGATTTTAACGCGGTAGATTCCTTGTCGACCAACTATGAAAACAGTGCAATCCCGGTTGTACAGCATGCCTTCCCTGCCGGGAAAATCGCTCTCAAACTTACACGAGCGGGCCAATCTTACACGCATCTGGACGAATTGGCAATTTCTTTCTCACCATTGCAGGCTGCCCGCGGGTAGGGGACTATATGTTCCCGAAAAAGGGCGGTCCCCGCGGTCATTTGCGACAAATCTTATATATAAAGCTGAATGTCTGTTTGTCTGTCTGTATGTATGTCTGTGTGTACGTATGTTCCGAATAGAAAATTCCATTTCTGAACCGATCCGGACCAAACTTGGCACACATACACTTCGGGCCCCGGCGGGTGTCGTAGGCTACTTTTCGTCATCGATCGATATCGATTTTTATCGATTTTTTTGCTGAGTTCACCTACGGGGCTGGGAGTTGGCACAGGGGGGTAATCGAGCATGGGGATTCCGAATACAATATTGGTTTTCAGGATTATCGATTACTTTTATCGATTTTATCGATTTTTTGCAAAGTTTGAGCTACGGGGCTGGGAGTTCGCACAGGGGGGTAATCGAGCATGGGGATTCCGAATACATTACAAATATTATTACAACTTTCCGAATACATACATTTTACACCAACCTCTTCCGCTCATCAACACCCGTGCCGATGCCCGTTGTTCCCACTGGAGAAGTACCACCACGAATTCTACCTGCTGAAGTGCGCACGGCGATTCAGTCCATGAAGACATCCACGGCTCCAGGACCAGACCATCTTTCCGTCGAACTTCTGCGAGCCGGAGGACAACGTCTACACGAGATTCTCGCGTCGCACCTAACATCTTACCTTCAGAAGGAGAGGATTCCCGGTCAGTGGAGAACGTCAAGAACCGTCTTTTTTTTTCAAGAAGGGTGAACGGGAGGATCTTCGGAACTACCGTCCAATATGCCTGCTGAGTGTGCTGTACAAGCTTTTCACGAAGATTATCCTCGCTCGCATATCTAGGACACTGGATGAAGCCCAACCCCAAGAACAAGCTGGATTCCGCAAGGGATTCAGCTGCATGGATCACATCCAGACGGTTTCGAGAGTCATAGAAGTCTGCCGGAAGTACGGACTGCCTCTCGTCCTAACCTTCGTCGACTATGAGAAACTTCGACAGCATCGAAACCGACGCCATCCTGTCAGCGCTAATCGATCAGGAGTGGACCCAGCCTACGTGAGGACACTAACCAACCGTTACAAGGACTGTACAACGACGATGCAGCTGTTCCATCGCCCCCTGACTATTCCAATTGGGAAGCTGGTCCGACAAGGCGACACAATTTCGCCGAAGCTGTTCACCGCGGCCTTTCAGTGGGTGATGAAGTCACTGGACTGGGACGAGAGAGGCGTACGAGTTGATGGGAGATTCGTATCCAACCTTCGTTTTGCGGATGACATCGTCCTTTTCTCGAGCAGTATCACTGAAGCAGAGGCGATGCTGAAGGAACTAAACGAAGTAGAGAAGAAGATCGGACTGCGAATAAATCGGAAGAAGACTCAGTTCATGAAGAACATCCTTTGCGAAGATGCAGAAATGGAACTGGAAGGCACCCCTATTATGGAGACTTCTTCTTACGTGTATCTCGGACGTTCGATGAACATGGAGAACGACTTGAGGAAAGAACTTAACAGGAGAAGAAGAGCAGCCTGGGCCGCCTTCGGGCCTCTGAAGGAAGCCACCGACCAACTGACGGACCCGGAGCTTCGTGCCCACCTGTTTGACTCAACCGTTCTCCCGGCGCTCTGTTACGCAGCTGAGACTTGGGCTGAACAGTAGCCACGTCGAAAGCCTTACGGACCACCCACAGAGCGCTCGAGCGCAGTTTTCTGAAGATGACCCGACACAAGCAACATCTAGTCGGACTTCGCAGCACGGATATGAGAAGAATGTCCCGTCTTCGTGATCCAGCGGAATACGTTGCGAAAGCCAAACACCGATGGGCCGGTCACATAATGAGAAGAACAGACGACAGATGGACACTAAGAACATCTGAGTGGATTCCTTGCGAAGCCAAACGTCCTCGAGGAAGACCACCAACGAGATGGGCAGACGTGTTCGTGGAACGGATGGACCAGCTGAGAAATCAGCTGGATACGATTATCGCACCTGGAACTCAGCCACCGACGGCAACCAAGAAGATCGTGGATGTCTGAAGCGAGGGACAGGGACGAATGGCAACTTTTGTGCTGGGGCCCGCACGCCACGTGAAGACGGGCCATCTAAGGGCCGCATGCACTAACATCCCCGCGGGGAGGGGATCGCAACTCAAAAGAAAGCTTTATATTTCGAAACTCTAGATACCTGGATTTCACGTTATGTATCTATCCGTAAGTATTCCTACTACCCTTCACTATGAACATGTTGAAGAGGAGCGAGAAGCTGTACGAACCGCATTTTCCAGCTTTCGTATGATCCCTGATGATCCCCGGCGCTTTTCTTTAAAGTCATTTTTCTTTCTCCGAAGTTGATGAAAAACCTCCAAAGTTGTGCAGATTATCTAAACCGACAGTGCTAAGCATGTTGCTGATAAGAACAAATGATGTTTTGAAGTCATGAAATTTTCGATGATCCATAGGTCGAAATTTGAGGTTTATCGAAAAATTCGACTTTTCAAAAACCCATTTGTTCTCATCAGCAACATGCTTAGCACTGTCGGTTTAGATAATCTGCACAACTTTGGAGGTTTTTCATCAACTTCGGAGAAAGAAAAATGACTTTAAAGAAAAGCGCCGGGGATCATCAGGGATCATACGAAAGCTGGAAAATGCGGTTCGTACAGCTTCTCGCTCCTCTTCAACATGTTCATAGTGGGTAGTAGGAATACTTACGGATAGATACATAACGTGAAATCCGGGTATCTAGAGTTTCGAAATATAAAGCCTTCTTTTAAGCCGCGATCTCCTCCCCAGCGGGGAGGTTAGTGCATGCGGCCCTAAGTATCTAAGTATGTGAACGGGCTACATCGGATAAGTACTACGAAGTTTGTTACCTGAACTATTACAGAGAAATGATAGAAATTACAGGTGATGAATATCTGCGCTGACGGAAAAGGTTAAAATCTCAGACTTGTGTACTGGTGCTCCTCATAACTGGAGAAAGACAACTATTTATTTTACGCTAGCCGCGCTTTTATTCTGCTTAAAATTGCGTTCACAACTTTTTTCTCAGAAACGAACAGCAGGGATAGCATCATTCGTAATGGTCGCTTTGACTTCGTGGTCATCGTTCTTAGTTAATGAAGTGCAACGAAATTATCTTCAAAGCACTTAATTTCTTTTTCTAGCAAAAATAATTAGCGGATTAGAGTATCAAATTTTTAACACATTGGCGATCACGCAGATTTATAGCTGTCTGCATTCTGGAACCGAGGCCTTCGAGGGAGTAATAGTTTAGATTAAATTACGTGTACTGCCATCTACAATACACCTACAGTAGCTCTGAAAGGTTTATGAAAAAGACTAAAGTCGTTCCTGCATATAAGACAAAGAAAAACTTCTAAAGTGAGTTTATTCCAAAATAGTTGTCAAATGAGATACAAGTCTTGGCACACCATGTGTGTGAAGCGATCGTCAGTGTGTTAATCGAACAAATTTAAAGCCTACGATTTTACCTAACACACTGCTGAGTATCAATTTATCAGACTGTTTACTGCAGAACCTGTTAGATTGTTATAAATACGAAGCTGGAAGCAAAGACTACGAATGCGTTTCTAAATACTGCTACCACTTCAAATGATGCAGTGGCTTCGTGTGCAAGAAATACATGCATTTCTGAGAAGAAAGGCCGACCTGCAGCTATGCAAGTCGGCCTTCTTAACTCTTGAAGCAATTCATCTTATATATAAAGCTGAATGTCTGTTTGTCTGTCTGTATGTCTGTCTGTGTGTCTGTCTGTCTGTCTGTCTGTCTGTCTGTATGTCTGTCTGTCTGTCTGTACGTATGTTCCGAATAGAAAATTCCATTTCTGAACCGATCTGGACCAAACTTGGCACACATACACTACGGGCCCCGGCGGGCTTTTCTCAACTTTTGAAGGCCCTCTAACCGTCGACGTCTGCGTTCAATGCTTCCCTACCCACCTAGGTTTTAATTCAAGGGCTCCCGATGCTACTTCCTTCACTGGTGGTCGGTGTTAGATGGGACCATTCTCATTGTGGGAACTCAGCCATGGCCCGGCGTTGGCTTGAAGCATTTTGAAACGAAGCTTCCCATGACTTCGCGAAATCTTACGGAGTTCTCTTTGACGTCAAAATCAGTTGGAAAACCTTTATTCAATTAACCGATACCAAAATAAAAATTCGTCTAAAGTATTTAACATAACAAAAAGCAAAAATACAAGTTTCGAAATGTTTTAAAAGGCTCTGTTAATATTGAGAATGGTGCCTGGTGTTCAGCATGTCGAAAACCCTTCAGGCCACTATTCCACCAAAGTTTGTAGCTCATGACAATTTGACAAAACATGCCCTGATACGCATGTAATTGGAGCGCGATATCCATCAATGCGTCTGTTTATGCTATCATTTCGATAAATAAGAGAGGCAATGATTTGTTCCAATCTCTTCACTATATGACAGATTTTTGAGTGTTGAAATCATCAAATTCGGCAACGGTTATTAGGACACATAATTTCATAAAATTTTTGCGTAGTGTAGTTTGAAGTAGTATTGTATACACATAGCGCAAAGTCGGTGTCATGTGGTGTTGTGCGCTGTAAATAAGCCTTTTTTTGGCCGGGATTTACATTTAAAATTCGCGTGCTTGCGAAAGAACATGTTGAACGCGTACATCTTTATTTGGATTCGTTTGCTTTTTAGCCCCAAAAACGAAATCTAGTTTGCCCTAGACTATCTGTGCAGGGCCCAGTACCTGGCTCCTCTCATCGCTCCTCTGGTTTTACGCCCATTGTTTGTCTAAACTATCCAGAATTTTTTACAACGGGATATCTAGGACCGCTGACTTCAAATAAGAAATCTCATTTTACTGTAATTTGTCAATGCCAGGTAGGAGTTGACAGCTGCTTTCTTGATGCATTATATACAGATGATTGCCGTTCAAAAACGTCACTATATGTACGAAGTTAAGTGGTAGGATTACCGTGCGGGAAAATTCACTACACAAGCTTGTAATTTTTTTGTAGCAGCAGCTAATCTATGGAGCTGCATGCAGTTCTTATCGTAATCCTATGGTTGCAAAAAGGGACCTATGCTTCGTTTTTAACCGAAAATCTGAGTAAAGATCTTCGCGACACTAGCAACTGCCACCCTATCTGCCTGTTGTCTGTAGTCTACAAGCTATTCATTCGAGTTTCTCAAGACTGGAAGAGTGTAAGAGGGAGGGAAAACCATGCAAACAAACTGGGTTTCGAGGATCTACTACGATAAATTTACTGCGCTCCATTGTTGGTTTATCGTGTGCTTTGTTTTTCAGTTATAAACTGTTCTACAAGAACACCTATTCCATACCTTCAGGGGTTGTGCGGTCGCACAAGGTTCAAAATCTAGGATTATAATCAAGCGGCTGCTAATCGAAAGCCTGAGAGCATACTTTATCTGGAAAACGGTGTTTACATAGGAAAACGAAAGTTTTCCTTATTTTTGAACTTCTCCGTTGATATAATATTTCATCATTGAGTAAAGTGTCTTTATGCATCCCTTTCCATTCTTCCAGACAATGTCGTGCTCTCTTTCAAGAAGTTTTTGTGTGATC